AGGCCTGAAACTCAATATGTAGACCAGACTGGTCTCAAATTCACAGAGATCCCCCTGCCTCCATCCCCAGAGTAACTGGTATAAAAGGTGTGTACCACCACGCCCAGCTACTTTCTATTTCTGGTATCTTGACTGGGATGTGTTGTGGAGAGTTTCTTCTTTGGTTGTGTTTGAGTTCTAAATGCCTCTTGTGTTTGGATGTCTACTTTTCTTTAATTATGGGACGTTTTCTGCTATACTTTCATTAGTTTTCCTATTCCATTTGATTTTATATTTGCTCCTTCTACATCATAAATTCTCAGATTTGAATATATCCCTGGCTTCTTGGAAATAACATCCATGCTCTCAACTTTTTTTCCCCTTACATGTATCTGTTTGTATTATTGTCTCCACTTTGTCCTTCATCCCTAAAATTTGTTCTTCTGCATGGTTTGTCTGTTTATGATGCTTTCTGGTGTGATTTTCATGTGATTAATCATCTCTTTCAAGTATTTATGTTTGGTTGTTTTTCAGTGTTTCAATTTCCTTGCTGAATTTTTCCTCGCTATTTTGAATTTTCTCTTTCAATTTACTGTTGCATTCACTTTGGAAACTTCTGGCAGTCTTTGATAGATTTCCTTAGTTTGTGCATCTGTTTGTTTCAATCTTCTATATGATCATTAATTCTTTTAAGAGGTGAGACTCTAAATTCTTTCTCAGACATTTCATCTATCTCCATGGTTTTGGGTTCTATTGTAGTGGAACTGGTCAGGTGGAGATGAATTATGATTGGTAGTTGTGTCATGTTGTCTCTATATCATGTTTTGCATATCTGTTAGGATGGATTTTTCAGTTTTGATTTCCCCTTCTCCTGACTCTATTTGGATGTTTTGTTTTCTGTGTATTTTCCTCAAGGGATGTCTGAAGTTCAGTTATAGGGATAGGTGAAACTTGGTGCTGATTGTCAAGTGGAGTTGCTGAGGTGATCCTGACTTGGCTAAGTGCCAGCTGGACTCTGGGTAGGGCAGCACACTGAACTCAAATTTGACCAGATGGTCTTTATAGCATGCTTTATGGCATGAACTGGGAACACATAATGTGTTCACAACAAACACAGAATTGTACATTGACATCTTTACAATATTAAAGGAGTCATATACAAGTCTACAGGTGTTATATATAATGGGGTGCCCCATCCACCAGTTCTTTGCAGTTCCTCCACTTAGGAGAAGTGTAGCACATGGGTGAATGTCACAAGGCCACGGTCTCCATCAGCAGGTCTCAGGGACAGTCCTTGTTGGAATCTGGGGTCAAGAGCACTAGGTAAGCTCTGGTCTGGGCCTTGCTGACAGGCTAGTTTACTAAGTTTAATTAAAACTTGATGCGCCTATGAGTGTGGGAAAATTGGAGCTGGGGTTGGCTCCCTGAGCTGGGGACCCAGAGGATGATGCTGAGATGGGTTTCAGGGTGGCAGGGCGCATTCCTGAGATAATCTGTGGCTTCATGCTTGTTGGATGGGCAGAGATGTCTCCAAGAGCCCAAATATGAGCACACAGTCAGCTGAGGCTTAAAACCCTGGGCATTAGCAGGTCAGGTGTGCACCAAGTACAGCCTGAGCCCTGGGCAGCAGGAAAGGTAGATGTCTCAGATAAAGGTCACAGATCCACTCAGCCCCTACTGCTTTCCTCCCAGCCTGCCCTGCCTGGCACTGCCATCCCCAGATCTAGCCCCAGAGCCCAACCTATCAGGTCCCTGGGCCTGAATTCCAGTACCTCACCCATCATGAGATTTGCACATCCAACTGAGAACTGAGCACCAGGTAAAGCAGTGATGGCCCTCACCGGCCTCACCAACTTGTGCAATGAGATACTTCTGTTTTAAATGTTGTAGAAAAATAAGTCATCTTGGGTGCATGGAAACTCACCAGAGTCTGCCAGGCATGGAGAGGGATAAGCAGCTGCTCTGGAGAGACCGACCCAGCAGAAGATGCTGGACCAGGCTGATGAGCATCTCTGGGTCACATCAATAGTCCTTCAGTGGGTATCTTAGGTTCTGTTGCTATGACACCTGGGCTGAGCTCGGATTCACTGTCTCATGCCCATAAGCACAAACAGGCAGGACCTCCTCAGGCCTACTTCCAGGTCCCTGGGGACTGTCCCAGGGCTGAGGGGCCTCAGGTGGGGGCACTGGGCAGGGCCTAGTCCAGGGGCTCCTGCTTTATCCGGACTGCAGTTGGGATGGGTTGTGGTCCTCCCAGCAAAGTACATACTCGCTGAATAGAGAGGAGTCCACACCACCCCCTCTGAAACAGCCTCTCCAGGAGCTGCGCGGAGTTAAGTTGACAGTAGCCACAGAGTGGGAAGCAGATGACTTGCCTGTGGGGTTCTGATTCCAAGCTAGTATTGACTAGTTATGCATGACCGCACATGAGGCAGTGGATGGTCTGCGTTGTGAGCTCCAGGCTATCCAGGGCTACTTAGTGAGACCCTGTCTCAAAATAAATAATTTAATTTAAAGAGGAAAACCCAGAAACATCAGCCAATTAGTCTTTAATGGGCTGCTGATTAAAATCGTTAACTTTTAGTACATTTCCTCCAGGTTCTATATTTATGGCCACATTCTCCAACTATTATTTTTCATCGATTTCTTCATTAAAACGTTTTTGTTATGTGTATGTTTTATTATGTGTGTACAGGTGCACCTATGCCACCGGATTAGAAGTCAGAAGACAGGTTGCAGGAATTAGTTCCTTTCCTTCCACCACATGCTTCACAGAGATCTAACTCAGGTATACAGGTCAGGGTTAGCAGCAGTCACCTTTATCCACCGAGTTATCTTGCTGATCCCAAGTTCTTCCCATTTTAAAACTTCATTCATTTAAACTTCATTTAAGGAATTTTAGAGAGAATCTGATAATTTTATTTTTTACAATTGTCTTTTTCCTCTATGACACTGGTAATTCCTATGTAGCTCAGGGTGCCATAAAAGTCTCAATCCAGGGCCAGCAAGATTCCTCAGTGGGTAAAGGTGCCTGCCAACCTATGTTCAACCCCCGAGATCCACATATTGGATAGAACTGACTCTCAAGCCAGGAGTGGTGGTGGATGCCTTAATCCCAGCACTCGGGAGGCAGAAGCAAGCGGATCTCTGTGAATTCTAGGCCAGCTGGGGCTCCAGAGAGACCCCGTCTCAAAAAGAACCCAAACCAAACCAAACAACCCCCTAAACATACCAATCCACCTATCTTGGTTTCCTAATTGACAGTACGCATTTTAATTTATGGGCCAAATAAACATGTGCACATTACATGTTGTCAAGGTTTTTTCCTGTGTTTTGTTTTTCATACTTGTAAATGGAAGCTGACCACAGGTGATATGACATGCATTGCTCTCATAAAAATGAGTGCAGATTTGCCAGATGTTGAGGTCTGTTCTGTATATTTTCATGTTGATAACTGGCATTAGATTTACTCGAGGCTTGTCCCCAAGGCTTACTTAAATATATGGTGTTTTTCTCCAGTGAGCTCTTTCATGTGTTTGAAGATAATTGGATTGAATGAAGGCTTTCCTTTTCTTGTATGAAGATGCCTCAAATTAAGGCTTTCCCACACACATAGGAAATATATGGTTTCTCTTGAGTGTCACTCATTTCTTTAAAGGTAACCAGAAGGTTTAATAAACCTTATTTTTTAGTATTTTATTATTTTTATGTGTATGAGTGTATTGCCTGCATGTAGGGATGTGCACCTGTGTCATGCAATGCCCGCGAGGACAGAAGAGGCTGTCAGATCCCCTGGAACTGTAGTTACAGTTGTTAGCTGTCATGTGGGTGCTGAGATTCAAACCTGGTCTTCTGCCAGAACAACCAGTGTTCTTAACCACTGACCCATCTCTCCAGCCCGTTTTTAAATATTGCTTATATCTGTACATTGAGTAGTAATAACCAAGACTGTCACCTAAGATCCCACATTGTTTACATACATGGGACTTCTCTCTAGAGCTCTATTATGTATATGAAGGTTACTATATAATAAATGCTTTTACACATTACTTACTATATACATAAAGTTTTTTTCTCCAGTATGAATTCTTTTGAGTTTTAAGGGAAATGTAATGATTGGAGACTGTTGTACCTGGCTTATATACAAAAGGTTTTCCCCCACAGTATTTCTTTCATGAATTTGAGTGTAACTGCAGTTCTTGAAAGGTTTCTAACACTGTTTATATTCATGGTGTTTTTCTAACTGTAACATACCTCATGACTCTGATTACATATAAGACATTGGCTTCATCACGTGCCTTTCATAGGCTTTCTCTCTAGTGTGAGACTTTTTTTGTGGCTCTAGGAGGAAGTGAAGAATTTCCTATACTCGTATTTATAAGACCTTTCTACAGATTCAAGATTCTCATGTTCATATGTAGTGTAAACTCTGAGCTGCAGGAATAGGAATGATCAATATCATGTAGGTTCTGGGAATCAAACTCAGATGATGGTAAGTCCCTTCACCCATTGATCCACTTCTTTGCCCTTCCCTCCCCCTCAAAAAAAAAAAAAATCCCATTTGAAGAAAATATACAGCCAGGCACACACCATTAATCCCAGCACTCGGAAGGCAGATGGATCTCTGTAAATTCAAGGCCAGCCTGGTCTAATAGCAAGCTCCAGGCCAGATGAGGCTACAGGGAGACAAAAAAAAAGGAGAAAGAAAAGAAAGCATCCATTTGCAATTTCAAATGAATCACAAGTACTCAAAAACTACACATAAATTCTGTCTGCTGGATTTAACACAGCTCCATATTAAAGGGAAAAAAGTATTACTTTATTTAAGACAATACTCATAAAAATTAGCAGGTGTTGTGGCATACACCTTTATTCCCAGAACTTGGAAGAGGAAGGTGCATTTCTGTGTCTGAGGCCGCTTGATCTAGAGTCCTTGTCTCAAGAGAAAATTGATTTATCAAACCATCAAACTTAAATCACTTCAGTGCAATCAGTTGTATGAACATATGCATAACTTCTACTGCATTTCTTTGAAGTTGTTTATTTTCAGGAACATTCTACACAAATTTGTTCAAGGTGGTCATATTTTTTACTTTTAAAAGATGAGAAAATTTCATGACTTTTACTTTACTTTTAACAACATATATTTTTCACACAGAATATTTCTTTTCGTTGGAAGTTTCTTTCTTTACTCTCCCAAGTTGTATTCAACCTCACTGTATTCAATGTTGTGTGATTTCTAGCATTTATTTCCCCAGTGAATAAAAGGCATAAATAGGGTGGGTTAAGGTAACCTGCCACAAAGGCAGAAAATCTCAATCTGTCCCTGGTACCTAGACAGTGGAAAGCAAGAACACTCCTGAAAGTTGTCCTCTGACATCCACATGTGCACTGTGGCATGCACTCACCCACCCACATTACTGTGTTATCCTCCCAGATAAGACATTCCATCTTGGAGGGAAGCTAGCAAAGACTTGTTAAGCTCAAGAACTCACTCAATAGTTTCAGAAGTCCCTGAAACTATCTAAATTCACTAGGTTTCTTCCTTAGGGCATATGAAAGCCCTAAGGACTGCTGAGGGACATTCTAAGACAATGTGAGGTATCCAGAAGAGGCTCAGACCAACTGACCTGCCTCTTTCCAACCTATCAAGCTGCATCCAAGTTGTGCAGTGAAGTCTAGATTTCCAGGTTGCATGAGTCATCACTCATGTTGGGGTGGGCTGTTGGTGTTGCAGCTGTTTCTGAGTCATTTCTATTCCTGTAAGTAACCCCTCACCCATATTCCTATAACACCAATAAATTCATTGGTTCACCAAGTTGGACTCTGGTGGTATCCTTACTTTGAACTGTTGTTGATTCCCTATCTGGGGTGAGTAGATGTTTGTTAATATCTCCCCAGGAATAGTGTCACACAATACACACATGGAATATAAATATAGTTTAAAAAGGAATTCACTAGCATGCTTTGTGTACCAGGTTTTCATATTACATCCCATTCTAAACATTACCAAAATTACACATTTACAGGTCTCCTATTCTGTTAGTTTCTCTCCATCTTTTTTTATAATATATAAAATATTTTTCAATTATTTATACATGTGAGAGTGCATGCATACTACGGCACATGTGTGCAAGTCAGAGGAAACCTTCAAGGACTGGGTTCTCTCTTTCCACCATATGGGTCCTAGGGATCCAACTCGGGCTGTCAAGCTCTGTGGCAAGTGCCTTTACCCCTGAGCCATCTCACTGGCCTCCACGCTATTTTTTTTCATACCTTACAATAATAGTAAGTTGACTAAAGACAATCCCATATGATTTACACTGTTATAAGTTCTAACCACTGGGTTTCTTTTCAGTATGAGCTCTTTCATGTTTGTGAAGGCAAGTGGAAACCCTAAAAGCTTTCCCACAGTGCTTACACACATAAGGTTTCTCTCCAGTGTGAATTCTTTCATGGTCACGAAGGGATGTGGAAATCCTAAATGCTTTCCCACATTCCTTACATACATAGGGTTTCTCTCCAGTATGTATTCTTTCATGATTGTAACAAGCATCACGTTGGATGAAGGCTTTCCCACAATGCTTACACACATAGGGTTTCTCTCCAGTGTGAATTCTTTCATGGTTGATACGATGACTGGAACGAAGGAATGCTTTCCCACAATGCTTACACACATAGGGTTTCTCTCCAGTGTGAATTCTCTCATGAATGTAACAGGCATTGGAATGGGTGAAGGCTTTTCCACAATGCTTACATATATAAGGTTTCTCTCCAGTGTGAATTCTTTCATGCCTCCGAAAGGATGTGGAACATGAAAATGCTTTCCCACACTGCTTGCAAACATAGGGTTTCTCTTTAGTGTGAATTCGTTCATGACTATACCAGCCACTATAATGAGTGAAGGATTTTCCACAATGCTCACATGTATATGGTTTCTCTCCGCTGTGAATTCTTTCATGGATGAGAAGGTCATAGGAACGAATGAATGCTTTGCCACACTGCTTACACACATATGGTCTCTCGCCACTATGAATTCTTTCATGGTTCTGAAGAGATGAGGAATATCTGAATGCTTTCCCACACTGCTTGCATGGATACCATTTCTCTTGAGGGTGAATTATTTCATGTTTGATAAGGTGACTAGAATTAATAAAGGCTTCACCATATTGTTTATATATATATGGTTCCTCTCCAATGGTGATTCTTTCATATATTTGACCATAACTATACCTCCAGAAGGCTTTCTCAACTTGCTTACATTCATGGAGTTTATCGTCAGTATTAGTTCTTTCATAATACTGGTCAGAAGTGAGATTCCTACAGGCTTCATTTGATTGCTTATTTTCATAAAGTGTCTCTCTAAGAAAACTTTCATTTGTCTGAAAGGACCCAGAATAAGGAAAATCTTTCCAAAATTTCTTGTGTGTAAAAGCCTTTTTTACATGTTCCTCAGGCTCATATGGTTTCTCCATAGTTTCACCTCTGAGGTGCACATCTGAGGGTGGATGAACAATGACATTTCTAGCAAACACCCTGCTTTCATACACTGTTACTGAAGGAGGCATGTCTTCATGAACAATAAGCTCTGGAATCTGTTGCTGGTTTTTTCCAGACTGATTACCATGTTCATATTGTCTCTCAACCACCTGAGTTCTACAAAAAATGAGAAGACCATTACTACAGTTTGATAATTAGCCAAGAGAAGTGTTGGAGGCCAGGTACTGTGCCTCATACCTGCTGTCGTAGTTTTCTAGGAGGACAGCAAGTTGGAGGTACACCTGGGCCACAGACAAAGACTCTGGCCTAAGGGGGAGGGGACCAAAAAACAAAACCTACACTGTTGACTTTGCATCTATAAGCATTTATAAATATGCCAGGCGTGGTGGTGCATGCCTTTAATCCCAGCATTTGGGAGGCAGAACCAGGTAATATCGGATATCTATGAGTTCAAGGCCAGGCTGGACTACATAGTGAGTTCCAGGCCAGCTGGGGCTACAGGGAGACCCTGTCTCAAAAAAGACCAAAAAAAAAAAAGAATTTATAAACATAAAAGCACTGAATGTTCAGCCAGAAGTCCTGGTATACAGTGTACAATCATACAGAGTTCTGTAATACTATTGCTCGTAAGTATATCACAAATATTTTGTGAACCACAGTCAACAAAGCTGAATATTCCTAATGCAAAATGTGTGCATCAAACATTATAGGATTTGAAATAACTGAAGGTCCCAATCTAAACCTGAAAC